TGGCTGCTCTCCAGTTCCGTATGCCTAGCAGGGTTCTTGCATCATAGGCCACGCTGTCCAGCAATCTCGTCCTCGGCCTTCCTATCTGTCTTGTGAGGTGCAGCTTCTCAAGCGTAACTTCTTTGGGTATTTCAGAGGTGCTCATTCTGGCCACATGCCCTCCCACCTTAGTCTGGCAAGTTTAATGTAGGTGACTATGTCGATGTCTATATGAAGAGAACTGAAATTTCTATTTTTTCTTTTCCTTCAGACATCACCTTCCCTTACTGGACCATAGATCCTTCTGAGTACTCCTGACTCGAACACACTCAGCTTCATCTCATCACTTTTTGTCATCGTCCAAGCCTCTGAGCCATATGTCAAAACAGGCCGTACAAGAGTCTTGTATATAATCAACTTGGTTTTCTTTGAGAGATACCTACTTCTAAAGTGTCGGCCAAGTCCAAAGACATATCTATTGGCAGCCATGATCCTTCTCTGTATTTCTTGAGCCATGTCACTTTTGCTATTCACTTCAGACCCAAAGTATATAAAGCTTTTTACTTTCTCAAACTTAAAAGAACCTACCTCAAATGGAGAGTTCAGATCCACCTCACCACCAACTCTAATATACTTAGTTTTCTTCTCGTTAAGAGAAACTGAAAATGAAGAGAAACGATATTTCAAATGAAAATTTGTAAAGAATTTGACTGGAAAGCATGTATTTGATCACACAGGGTATTGTCTTTTTTGTCTCTCACTGCAGGAACGGCTCGAACGTAGTGCAGTAGTCTATAAAATATTTGTTTTTAACATACTCACCTTCATATGAACATGGCTTGATTCACGAATGCTTTGTAAGCTCTAGGTAGCCTGCTGATATGTAGTGTAGATCACTTTGTTTCTGAGCTTCTTGCGATTTCGTAGATTCGTTGGTTTGAAAAAATGAAACTAGTTCTTTTTTCACCTTGTTTTAAATTTTCCAATTACTGAAATCGATTCTCTGTCTCTCACTATCTGGAATTCGACGGCATTGTAGCTTTTATCCTGTAAAGCTCATTTTACAGTGTCCAAGAGGTTCCGATTGTTTTGAAGGCCATTTAATATTTTACTACTACTCTTATTTGCTTTGTCTAGTTTTACGGTAAGCAGTGCTGACCTCAGAGTAGGAGAATCCGGGCATTTGCCAATAGGCACTGTGCTGGATGTGCCCAATACTTATTATAAATTAAAAAAAAAATACAAACTATGAGAAAAATTAATTTTAGTCTATTAATAAAGCTAATTAGGGAGCAAGGTAGGGCAATAAGCTTCCAATGCTCAAGGTCCCAGATTCGAATCCCAGCTCAACACAGAAAAATTATTTATTCTGTTTCATTGGCCGTGAGGCGACCCTGGGATAGGGAGACCCTTCTGGGGCACACCCAGCCTCTATAAAGTGTAATTAAATAATTGATTAAGGGAGAAAGTCTGCCAGTTGAGCGAGATCCTGTTCTGATCCCCTACCTGCACATCCGCTGGCCTTGAAACAGTACTTTCCCTAAATAGGACTGAACCCAAGACCCTTCATGGGTTGTAGTGGTACAGGTTTTTCTTTTCTTTTTTTAATAAAGCTAATTGATACTGTAGTCTATGCACAAAACGCTTTATATATTCTGTATTTACACAACCATCTTTCATTGAGCATTTCATTACGTTTTTTCGGTATCGATACAATCTCTATAATCTTCACGGTAACTTACAGTTTTTTACATCACAATTTGCTAGTTTTTAAACTACAGGTTTTTACAAAAGGCCATAGAGAAAAAATGAAACATCGTAGACTTTATTTTATGGGACAAGATCGACCAGAAAAGCTCAAAACCTCATTTTTCATAGAAATTGTCCTTACAGGCTTTTGCAGTGTGGCTGTGGATATAATAATATTTTCTTGGAAAATATAATAAAAAAATATTAGGAGTTGATCTGGGGGTGCGGTGAAATAATTTATTTGACCGCACTCCCCGATCAACTCCTTCTCATATTATATCACGGCCAACCATCTGTACATCATTATAAAAAAATATTATATGATATAGTTTATATATAGACCACACCCCCAACCAACTTAGTAATGTAACAATATATATAAAAAGTATGTATTCTAATTCTCCTCCCTAAAAAAATAATTTTTATCTACATAATGCTCTGTAATAAAATAATTTTTTTCAGATAATCCAGAAAATCGAAGTCATATCATAGATCAGATCAACGCTCCTCATTTTATTCAAGAAACCTTCAGTTCAAAAGAACGTAAGGATGAAGTGTCAGTTGTAACTGAATCTACAACTTTTATATCATTTAATAATACTCAGTTGAAAGAAGAGCCAGGAAGCCTCCTACATCCAAATGTAATTATAAATTTGTTTTACTCATAATTTTATTTACTTTTTGAAACATTTACATTTACTTAATATGTTTCACTCCTATTTTTATCATTACTTTTTTATAAATTTCATAATTAAAATCAATTATGATTAATTATATAAAGTGTTTAACTTTGTATCTCTCTTCCTTTGCCACAACTGACAACTTATACTGGGTAGAACTTGTTCTTTATAATTGTTTATTATTATATTTAGTATAAGCAATAACATATCTCTATTTGATATTAATAATATTATGGTGTATAAATAAATAAATAAATGTAGGCTGAGGATGGAGTCAACCCAAGATGTTCTAAAATTGAACATCAAACAGACATAGTTGTATAACTGAAATATAATAACACTGATACTTGTGTCCGTTAGAAAAACAAAAAGATGAAAAACACCTCATTTTTTTATCCTCAAAACTAATTTGACATAAAATGGTGCCTCATAGAGATTTTCTACCTTTAGATTCATGCTCAGCGTACCTTAAAACATTTTTCTTAAAGGATGAATTTTATGCTGAACAGTATAATGAGAAAGTAAAAATAAAAGATAGCTTCTTGCCCTCACCTTGTTTTTGGCAAATATTTTTGTCAGTTGGCCACTTCTCATGATGGGAATTAGTTCTTAACTTTTATAGCTTCAGGGCCCTAGTCATAATGGGAAATAGAGGTAGGAATTCAGTTCTTTGATACAACTATCATTATCTACTATAACTATGTTCTATCATTATCTGCACCAACCCTTCACTATTATCAACATAAATAAAATTGAAAATAATAAATAGCTAATTATTTATATTCATATGGTCATAAAGTAGTAATATTTTCAATGTTACATCAGTTCAGACTAATATTAACTGATTTTTAATTAGAACAGAATCCTTTAATTATTTTTTTCACATTTGATCTAAGGATTTGGCTGTTTTATTATATACATCTTAACCTGCCAAAACCTTGTAATTTATTTTATCACTTTAATGCTTATTAATTTTTTTACAGTTACTAATTGAAGATCAAAATGACAAGTTAAATCGATGGATAAGAAAACTATATTTGATCAGACAAAAATCAATTAATGGGGAACCATTGATGTTAGATTAATAATGTAGACATTTCATTTAATGTTGTAAGTTAAAAATATATTTTATTATATTTTTTTACTCCTTTTTTTTACTTAACCTAAAAATGGATATTATTTATTTTTATTGTTGAATATTAAATAACATTTAAAATCTGGAATTCATAAATTGGTATATTTAACTTCATAACAGTATAGAGTAAATTAGAATGAAATTTTTTAAACAAAATATTATCATTTATTCTGTGCTACAATACTTTAATGTTAATAAACTAATAGCTACTTACCAATCAGCTTAACATTTAAGTGCCTTTTAATGATTTATCAGTCTTCCAAATCTGGAATTCAAAACAAAAAAATTGGATTGGTGAGGGAGCCAATTCCATTTATTAATAATGAATTATTTTCTGATATTTATTTAAGAGGCTTACTGAAGCCAATACATTTAATATAACTATAAAATATATCACAGATATATAGTAATAATAAATTGTCTAAGTTTCATTGAGTTTTTACATCAAAAAATCAAAGTACAATTAATTTTATGTGTAATAAGGTTGCTCATCATAAAAATATAGCCTTTTTTCTTTTGGAAGTTTGCAAGGTAAAGAAAACTTTTGTGTGTTGAAGACACAAGGTAAATCGAATTGGTTAATGATGGCTGTGGGCATTAATAAAATGGTGGTAGCCATTAGGTTTCAAAAATAATATTATGCATATGAAAAATATTTATATGAGTATTTTCTTGTATCAATGAACCGTAGTTGTAGCATATACCAGATATAATACAAGACTTGATTCTGTTTGCAGTTTATGAATATTCTATACATAATTGAACTATATAACATAATTTTATTCTATATATTATACAGTAAGTCTAGATAGAATATAAATGTACTGGTGATTTAGTAGTAAAACTACATTGTTGATTAGTCTTAGAGATTGTGTGGTATTATTACAGCTTCATTAGAATATTCCTTAGCTCAGTTGTTATCTTCGAGCAGATTCTATATTTGTCCATTCAGGATATGACACAAAATAAGAGAAGGCGATCTAGAGGAATATAGTTACAGCAGAAAATGTTCAATAAGTTAGTTTAAATGCTCGGTAAAGTTTTTTTTAAATTTATTTTATATGATATTTACAACTGTATACAAAAAATACATCTAGTAAATTCGCACATGGACATAACGACATGAAACACATATTAAGAAACTACCCATTGGTAGCACTCTAATGCTCAGTAAAGTAAAAATGAAATAAAGTTCAATTAGAGATGGTTACAAGAATAAAGCCTTGTAGTTTTTGTAAATTAATTTTATTTTGATGTAGAAAAAACAATTGTATTTTTTTTAAGCATCTTTTATTAGATGTAAATTGTAATGAGATTGAAAAACCAAACATTTCATGATTTCTGCTGTAAAATTAGAATGATTTCATTTTCCCCTGAGCTATATTTTAGATAGAAAGGCATATTTGTTCTAGATTATACCAGTTTTTAATAAGGAAATTAGGAAGGTAAGTAATAAAAAAGTAAACATTAGTTAATAAATAACTTATGCATTTATTTAAAAATGCGTTTTCTTTATAATTCGCTGTCGACATGGACCATTTGCATGAAAATTATCAAAATGAGATACAAAAAATATGTTAACATAAAATTAATATTTAATTAGGCATTTTCATATATAAAAAAAACTTTGGTTAAACAAAATCATAATGCAATAACCATTTAATAATGCTACCTAAGATATTATTCTTAATGTAACTTCAAACATTCCATAATGTCACTCTATAATATCATTACATCTCCCATTAAATAACATTCAATTTAAATTAACAGTTTATGAAATTTCCTTACAATTAATAAAGATATATCATAAAATGAATTTGTTGTTTTAACTGAACCTGCTAACAAAAGCAGCATAGAAATTTGATTTTATTAAATAAATATTTTGAGAGAATTTTAACTAACAGTTTTATATTTGATAGTAAGTTAGTTACATTTCTTTTTTTTTTTTTCTTTCTGGTATAAATATTTATTTATAAAATATTTTAAACATAGCAATAAAAAATTAATAATAAAAAATAAAGTGGGGTAGGAGACGGAACATAGACCATTTACAGTAATTATTACAATTAATACTGCACAATCTAAACAAAGGATTACTAATTCATAAAATTTTCATAACAGGTGAACTTCGTAATAAAATAAAAAAAAACAATATTTTCAAAAATTGTTAAATTTCATAGTGGTTAAATAAAACTATTAAATAAGTTCTAAAACAAATAAATTAATGTAAATCCCTCAAAGAACAATATCATCTTAAAACAGAATACATGAAAGGTGGCTCATCGTGGAATGTATAATGATAAGACAATAATAAAAAAAAACAACTAATAAATAATAATTATAATAAATCAATTTATTGCATGTTAAAATATCTATCTATAAAAATTTGGAAATTTCATTAATTATATAAAATATTTATTGATTGAAATTACTACAATTTAATATATTTATATATCTTCCTTTAAATAAAATATTTGTTACTACCTAACAATGTTATTCAACATTAATTTTTACTTACAATAACCATTATTTACAGCAAATTACTTTGGTGAGTTTCTTGAGGAAATATTTTATGGATTAAATGGGCACAGTTTCTCTAATAAATATTATAATTAATTGAAAGTGAATTAAAGCTCTTGAAATCACAAAATTAAATGATTTTTTACAGATTTGAAAAAAATAAACATTTATTTTATACTTTTCTAGTTTTTTATTTGAAAAAAGTTAAGAAAAAACAAACAAGGAATTACTGTTTTTCCCTGTGAATATAATTTTACAATGAAAAAAAATATAAACATTTAAAATTAGTAAAGAAAGCAGTCCCAATTAATCAGTCAGATTTTTTATGAAATCTTAAAAATACATCTCAAAAATTACTAATTCTTTAGGAATCAAATCTATTAATATAAAACTATAAGAAATATATCACTGCATAGACTTATTTAAATTTATTAATCCATAAACCAGTGATATAACAGTAACATAAATTTTATTGTCAAGAACTCATTTATGAAGTATAACTTATAACATATCACACAAATTTTATATACATACATTTAGAATAAAAAAAAAAGAAAGAAATATTGAGAAGACACGCGTACCTGTTCACTAAATGGATATGATGAAGATATCTTATATTACAAAATTACAAGTTCATGAGAGGATGGCAACACTTCGCCTGGGTGCAATATTTCCCATAGCATTGACATTATCTACACTCGACCACTTTTTAAGTCCATTCTTGAGCAATTCAGCAGTAACCCTATCTTCACATATACGAGACATAGCTTCAAGTTTTTGTGCTCGTTCTTTGCTTAAAGGCTCACCAGGGAATGCTAAGTCATTTGCTTCAGCCAAACTTCTTAGATCAAAATAATATTTTGCATATACGCTGGATGGTACATTGATATTAAATTGCAACATTTCCAGGAACTGCCTTTCTAGTTCATTCCTATAAAATATATAAAGTTAATTTTTTAAAAATAAAGGACATACAAGTTTAAAAAGTATTTTTTGTTAAGAAGAATTTATAAGATAGTAAAAGGAAAAATAAAGATATTATGGTATTCTGTAAAAAGGAGGAATATAAATTAATAATTGAAAAAATACTCAAATTTCATGTTTTTTTAAATGCTGTAATGTAAGCTTACATTGAGGGAATGTGGGAACCTAGCATTTTCTAATCACATATCCATTTAATTTCATAATTTCAATTTTGATAGGAATCAGAAGTTGTCAACACAGTAATTGGTAGTACAGTTGGTACACATAGGTAGTGGTTTGGACCTATTAATAAAGTATGTCTCTATTCCTTATTCCTACAATTATACATCTTAATTAACAGACAAATCATATAAGGACCATAGTTTAAAGTCATCTGGGATTGGATCAGAAGACCATGAAGTATCTGAGGCAGATTTCCTATAGCTGAAGCCTCCCAATGTTTGTCTTATAACCTATGCAACTAGATCATCCTAAGTAATATACTCAACTCAAGTACAGTTAAATTGTTTTTACCTCAACTACATGTTAAATTAATAATTTCAATATTCATCATACTAATTGGTTTGTATAATACAGCCTCATATTTGAATAGGAAATAAAGATTTATAATAAAAAAACTACAACCCATGAAGGGTCTTGGGTTCAGAATTATTTTAGGAAGCACAGTATCTTGGCCAATGGTTATACAAAGAGGTGATTTGACTGAAATCATATTCAACTGCCGGGTTTTTTATCTTTCCTCCTTAATTAATTAATTTCTTTAGAGTACCCACTTCTTAGAGGCTAGGTCTGTCCCAGATGTATCCATCAATCCACGGCCATTGAAACAGAATAAATAATTAAATGTCATCAGCTAGACTTAAACCTGGGACCTTCACCTATGGGAGTCATTGCTCTACCCATTGAGCTACACTGCTTCAAAGATTTATAATAATCATCTTAATTTCTTATTCAGAAGGATACAAAATTTTGAGTATTTTTTTATAAGTAACTTACATATCATAATAGAAAAAATGATGCTAGGTTAAATTAATATTTATTAATTAATATATTGTATATAGCCTGATGATAAAAGATAAAAAAAGTTTAAACTTTAACGCAGAACTTACATGTCTTCTACGGTTATATCTTTTAGAATTTGGCAGTAATCCACATTCCAAACTGCTTGGTCATCCCACACTTTAGAGGCAAGAAGTATTGCTCCCAACACAATTCTCTTCCAGTTTCCAGGAGTAATATCAACTTCTGCATAGGTTAATAATCTAAAAATGATATACTTAATCTTTATTCTTAATTTTAAGACATAATAACTTCATAAAATCAAATACATTTCTTTCTTTGACTAGAATACAATATAATGTCCTAGAAAAAGTTTTAAAAAACTGAACAAAAGTAATATAAAATAACAATTAAGAAAATTGAAATCTTTAGAAATATATTGCTATTAGTAAAAAGAAAAAAAAAAAAATTAATTCAATAACTACTTTAAATACAAGCATTACTCGTCAAAGACATTTTGGTTGAATTGATAAGACAAACACCAGCTTACGCTGAGTATACATAGAAAAAGGCAGAGAATTGACTGTTGATTATGGAATAGAGTGCCCACATTCCAAATTACTTGGTCGTCCCTCACTTCAGAGGCAAGAAGTATTGCCCATTGCTCACAACACAATCCTTCCAGTTCCCAGGAGTAATAAATATCAACTTCTTCACAAGCTTAATGAGTTAGGAAGAGCATGTCATCACCGCTGGATGTGGTAGACAACTTAAGTGAAAAAATCTCATTTGGGGGATCCTGTCTTGAACCTTAAAGGATCCAATTAAAGTTTGTTTAATAGTAAACCCCTTACTGTCCTTCAACATGAAAATTGGCATGAGGCAACAAAGTGGGGTGGTGCAGCCGAGCGGGCTAAGGCATCTGTAAAATATGAATTCCTCTGGCATTAATCCCTGCCCTCTCGCCTGGTCTCAGAAAAAAACAGTACAGCAGAAAAGGCAGGGAAGGAGAGAGAAATGTTAATACCACATCAGAGCAATGTTTAATTTATTATTAAATTGTGAGTACCGAACAATTATTAAAATTTGTTTACTATTTAGTAAATATATATATTTTAATTTTAAAATCCCATTAACGAAATATGTAACATATGAACAAACCACTTAATGTGTGGCGCTATGATAAAACTCAAGATGGGTCCACTATTAGCTTAATTTTAACTGTTTCTATCTGTATACTCTCAAATGCTTCTGTTACATGGGTCTACAATTTTCCCGCTATCACCAGATCATCCCTATAGAATAAGAATTTCTAGATTATGGTTTAAAATGGTTCCTGCTATCTGTAATTCTGCAGTTATAATGACTCTATGAACAGCTTTAATGAAGAGTAGTGCCAATGAGTCCAATGTTTAGTAGTGCCAATGAGTTTTCTAGTCTTAGACTGCCCAGACACTGATTTTTTCCATTATTTCTTCGTTCACCCTTAAACTCCAGGGCAAATTCTTCATTGCACACAATACAAGTCTTACTAGCTAGACAGGGATTTCCATAGCTTAGTAAAGCTCACATTGCATTACTACATTGTAGATGATCTTGAAGTCTATGATAAGCATCCACAAGGTGTCATTAAATTCTTTAATCTTTTCAAAAATCTGCTTGTGGGAGAAAATCTGGTCTATTGCACATCTATTAAGTGCAAGTCCCCTTTGCCCATAACATAAGGCACTTAACAGTTAGTTGTATAGAGTGACTGGAAAGCTTCAAAACTTTCATCGAAGAAATACTTCCTTCCTTTTTCTTTCTCTTAATGTCTTGTCCATAAGTAAATTATTTAGTTTAAAATGTGTTTTATCAGCATACATAAAATAAGATAAGTAATATTGTGTCTCATATTTTTTTTTCATTATTTCATTGTCATTTAAATTAAAACAGGTTGACTATTCATTCAATGAATCTAACTAAATGAAGTAAAAACCATTCTTTGATGAAGAAACTGCCGTATTGAGTAAAGACATAAAGTAAAAATGAATTAAATTTAAATATTTTTTAAAAATTTAAACAGGTTTAGTAGGCAATAGTTTGTTTAATAAATGATGTTTGAAAGAAAAGAATAACCATCACCTCTCCCCAACAGCCCTCAACTTAGAACTAAGTGTGAAAGGCCACCATCTTCAAGTTATAGGATGGCTTCTATAAACTGTTGATATAATAGTCTCTGTGCAAAAAAATGAGTGAGTTACAAGAGATTTAGGACTATTAGACCTAAAAAGAGTAGATAGACTCAGAACGTGATTTCTTTGTACACGAGCAATGCTAAAAATAAAATTGGCACCAAAAACCATTAATAGAGCCTGAAGCTACAACAAAAAGAGAAGCAGCTTTATTATTCCAAACAGTTTCTGAAGGTAAAAAAAAAAAAAAATTCTGCAACGGAAATTTTATGACAGTAATCAAGAGATCTTATAAGACTACAAGACAAATTAAATAAATATTTTTTAAATTATGATCTAACCACCATGATGGAAGATTGAAAGTTGTCACATTATTAATAGATATTGACAAGTTGTTCATGAGTATAACTTCCTTTTATATAGATTGCAAATTAAGACTTTCCCAAACCACTAACTGGTCTTTTCCGAGTACTTACGTAGTTTTAATTATACTACTGCTTTTGACATATGCCTCCTCAAAACGGATAAAACAAATCCTGACTTCAGTAAAAAAAAAATCAAAGGCTTCAGTCATCTCCACCTACTTTCAGACATCCTCGGCCATTCTCAGATTTCCATCGACAGTGTGCTCATGAGATTTTTGCTCACCCATCATGAAACAACACTTGATAAGTAGTACCAATTGTGATTTACAAGTCATCAGTTTGAATTTCACGGAAAAGGATTCCCTTCGAGATTAATCTCTTGAGTAATGAAAATATGACTGAGATATATCTGCAGCTTTAAAAATGACCAAAACAGTATTATTATAAGGTAGGTTTGCAGAAATCACAGCTGTTGGTTTCACTCACTAGAGAGATAAAGAAACTCACAAGACAATTTTGGTTAGCGGTAGTAGAGGTTTTTAATTTTTGTTAAAATAAACATGATCCGTATCATTGCTAATTACAACTGCTAACAATTCAGAGAAATAAATAATTAAGTGATGGTGCAAACAATAATTGATGAAAAATTCTCCGTATCTAAAGGAGCATAAAATTAGAGAAATGCTCAACTGACTGATTCATTATAGCATACCACCGACAAATTCAAATTAGATGTAATGCAGGTATGGAACCAACACTCAATATTTTAACCAGAATCTTGGATGTTGTTATTTACATGGGTATAGATAAAACATTCAATTAATATAACATAATAAGAAAATGCCTAAAATTAAATGTACTACAATAAATTGTCAGTTACCTTTCAAGATAGACTAGAGTTATAATGGCACATTCTGCAGTCAGCTGTGCAGAATTAAATAATGTTCTAATAAATTTATAAATCTGCTTATGCTCAGGATTATGTTGATCATAGTCTTCTGGAACACCATCTCGCTAAAGAAGCAAGATATCAAAAATTAAATAAATGTAATTGATGTTCAATAACAATGCAGCATATGAAACCTACTGTTAACGGATGTTTTCTTTCATCGAAGATTTCCATGTATCTCTCGGAGGTTCTATTCTTGATATGATAATAAATAGCTAATGATACACACTTTACAGTATTTTTTAAATTAGGCTGTGAAACAGTGCTGTCATCTAGGTAAATTGTTGAACAAGAACTGCTCTTTTTTAATCCCGAACTTCTGATCTCAGCTATCTGAAAGAAAAGAATATGAAAATAATCCATAATGAAATGTAGAACAACAAAGTAATGAACTGATAAACTTACATGATTCTGACTTTTTTTTCTAGACAGACCATCTAAAAAATCGTATAAATATTAATTTAAAAACATGAACAAATGGATTTTTACATTTCCATTCAAATTTACTCACTTTCTACTGAAACTTTTGAGCGTTCTAGGAACAAGGTGCCAGCTTTGGGATGCAATGAAGGGTCCGTGTCCCAGTCTTCAATCTCTCTCTCACTAATGTGCTGCAAGTTACCAATGCTCTCTTCTCCCTCCGGTAAATATTCCTCAAAATGTTGAACATCTTTTTTCCTTGAAGGTGGAGTAGAGTAAGCACAACAACTATTCTTATTTCCCATAACTTGAGCAAGTTATGTATCCAACTCATATAATTACGAGTATAATATCTTACAAGAAAGATTTAAATGATAACTACACCTATTCATAGACTTTACACAAGTAATCTTGAGCATGATTATAATATCTACTATATACATTATCTCCGAAAATACAAGTTAACTTTGATAAGAGTTAGGTTAGAGAGTGTATGTTTACTCATGGTCTCACGAATTAACTGCAGAAATGAATCTTAGAATTCATACTGGCTCAAGTGTCACTCCAAACTTCAAGCCCATGAGAGGCAACATACAAATTATGTCAATTAAAATAAACCTAGTTGTAATCGGTCCGCCTACTTGGTTGTTTCGTCACGCCATTTACACAGAGCTCACAACTAATCACATTTTGATTAAAGTTAAGCTATTATTATGAATTTCTTTAATCGTGAGAAAATATTTACTAAAAAATTACTATAAAAACAACAACAAAAATTTGTTCTCTGCAAAAAAATTTTCACAGCGTGAATTAACTACACCTTTAAAATTGTTACTACTGATTTTGAGACAAAATTAAAATTATCTGATTAATTTTTAAATTGATGAAATATGGGATTAGAAATTTTCAATAAATTTAAAAGTTGTTAATTTTTTATAAAAAAAAATAAAATCTACATGTATTGGGATATATTTATATATCCTTCAGCGCTTGCGCTCTTTCTTTGTGGTGTAGTTTCGGTAAAGAAACTCAGTGTTTTTGTTCACGTATAATAAAATTTGGTTGTGAATATGACCATAACAATTGAAAATGTTGATATGAATATGGACCAAGATGAAGGTGATGTGGTGCCTCCAAAACCTGAAGTGTAAGTTCTGTAATATTACTTAAAATTTGGAAGTGCTCCATCATTTTTTGAAATACCAAGGAAATTAGTTTATTTATTAATTATTTCTGTTCTAGTACTTCCAATTTTTAACACTAATGGCTAATGTTTATGAGTGGTTTATTACTGTGGAATTCTGACTTTGTTTTTAAATACATTTTGAATGGTTTTGGTATTAACAAAATAACCTGCTTTTCACTAAATCAGTTCCTTCTAAATTTACTTTTGTTGATTATGTCAATTTACTTAAATCCTACCAAGAATATGCTTTGCCTTTCCCATTTTGTGTTCCGAACAATCTTCCAGTTGCGGTTTCTATTTATGGTTTCAAGACTTCTTTGGATAACAATATGTCATGATGGTTGACTCAGTTTCACTTGTTTTCAAATAATTGTTCTTGAATATTTTTTTCAGTTCTAATTAATGACATATTGTTCACTGAGATCTTCAGTGTTCTTTGTTTAATACATTTTGTGATACTATCTGAATATTGTGTGGTTATTTAGGTACTGGTTCACAATTGTCATGTCTGGTTGACATGTGGTTCAAAATCACATTGATCACTGGGGGGGGGGGGAGGGAACTAATCCCAAACTAGATTCATTCATGGTTTTTACTGGATCTGGAATACCTGTAAAAGTCATAGAATTTTTTAAGCTGGGGGGCCCAAGTCTATCTTAGCTGCTGTGATTCAGACATGACAATAAATATAGTAGTCTTCCTCGCTTTTTTTGATACAAATTATTTTATTTTACAGTAGGGTCATTCTGATGTTATTTGACTATTTTATGTCCCAAGTCTTAATATTATATTTGGTCGCATTAAGTGCTTATAACAGTGATGTACACTATATGATGTCAAATATATAGTAGATTGTTTCTCGATATTTTATGATACAAATTATTTTATTTTGACAGTAATGTCATTCTTTTGTTATTTGTTCATTTGATGTCCCAAGTCTTTATTATAATTCTTCTCATTTTTTTTTTAAGTTTAAAAAATATATGGAGTATTAATTTACTCGATTTTTTCAAAGGAATTAAATGGTATCATTAGAATAAATCTCTATCAACCACAAGAATTAATATTCCAATGTTAATTATAAAAAATGTATCGAGTGTTACTTTTCCCAATATAAGGATGCGAAATTGTTCATGCTTTGAAATGTGTTAAATGATCTCAGTTGATCAAAAAATTGAATAGTCTGTGTCGATTAATATTTAATGAAGGGGAATTCTAGTATATATGATGGTATTTTGAATTATAGGTACTTTTATTTAGTTATGTCAGATACTCTGATTTTAAAGTAGGTTTGTCCCAAATACTTAAAAAAGTTAAAACCTGTTTTATTGGGTGTTCTGGCTACTCTACTAATTTAATTTGACTGAAAAAGGCTTGAAACCATTTGTTTGTGATACAACCAATCAATCTTGAGGCATAAAAGAGTTGGCTACAACCAATCAATCTTGAGGCATAAAAGAGTTGGCTGTGAACTATAAATTGTTTCTTAACATGTGTAATCATTATTTTAAATTGTTCAATAAACATTAGGAATGATAATTTCAAATAAGAAATTTCGAGACATTTATTTGGGGTTAATCTTTCCAATCTGCCAACATTATGTTAGATCAGAATTAAGAAAACCTAATGAGTGTTAGCATTATGGTGTTTACTAATCTATAGTCCGACTTGCTTAATCTATCAACTTCCACAATGCCCTTTCCTATGCTCCCGATTCTAAATCTAAATGGAAAATACAGTGTAAACTATCCCTACCAGAAACCAATAACCTCAGTTTCCATTTGGTCACTCCAGATGATCTCAATGCCAATTTCCTAACCTTTGCTCCTGAGCCTTGTTCTACTCCTGATATTTAACATTATTATTTCAATTAGGAAGATTTTTTTTCTTCGATGAGCCCTACATTGAACTACTTATCACTGTCGTAAAATCTCACAACAATCATTGTGGTCTTCACAGTATTCCAGTAAAACCCTATTGTCCTGTACTTTATTGTATCTACAACTTTTCTTTGCAAAACTCCTTATTCCCATCTTCTTGGAAAATTGGCTTAGTCTAACATTTAAATAAAACCTCAAACCCTTCCTCACTGCATATCTTCCATCCTGTTTCTCTATTGTCCAATGTTTGAAAACTGGACGGGATTCTACAAAATCAACTTTGCAACTTCTTAGAACAGTATTTCCTGATTAACCTTGTCCAATCTCTGGCTTTCGACCTTTCTTTATTTCTTTTTCTACCCTTCCTCGTCTTTTCAACTATATGGGATTTTCCTGGGCCAGGGGAGTGAGCAGTAGAATTATACCAGGGTTAAAGTCCTCTCTCTTCTTCCTTCTCCCTGCCATCCCTCCCTGGCTCTGGGATTCAAACTCGTAATCTTTGGTTTATTAGGTTGCCGGTCAGCTCGTATTTTGCACAGATGTTAGCCTGCTTGCACACCCCTCCCATTGGTTTTTGAGCTGGCTACTCAACCCAATCTGTTCTCCTAAAAATAACCCATGACCTTCAAAACTCCATTGAAATCTAAGAACTAATTATCCTCATCCTTCTAGATTTTTCCTAAACATTTGACACAGTTGACCATAATATCCTCCTTACCCAGTTGCAAATATAACAGAATGTGACTGATCTGCGTCGTTCAGATACAGACTTATAGGTTCAGATGAAATACAAGAACATTCTCTATTCTCTATCCTGTTTGCTATTTGTATGAATGACCTCCTAATCCATCTCTCCCAATACTCTATCTTAGCTGATAATTTTCAGTTGTTCCTAGTGTTTCCACTTTCTGATCTATTACCAGTCACAAAAATACTTGAATAGAATCTTTGACTGGGCAGAAGCTAACAAGTTGAATTTGAATGCAGAGAAGAGAAAGGCAATGGTAATAGGCTCCGATACCCTCCTTAAAACTTTTCCTAATATTCCAAACATGTACCTAAATGATAATCTAATCTAATTTTATCCAACCATAAAAACCTTGGAATATCCTTCGATCATACTCTTTCTTGGAAAAAATATGTATCCAATTATCAGACAATGTTCTTAAAAAATACTGATAAATTTTAATTTAATTTTATTGATGTTGATAGTTGTGTTTCTTAAAAAATAGATACTTCATTTAATTTATAATCAAGAAATAGTTTAAGAGAGTTTATTGTGTTATTATTTTAAATTAAGTTTTAATACATATTTAATACACAATTATTCTGTAGTATGTTTAAAAGCTAATCCGTAATTTAGTTATAGATCATTATAGCTTCATTTTATTTGTCATGACCACATTATTGATCTTTATCCATTTATTTTACAGGCTGGCAGAAGAGAAAAAGGAGTTAGGAAATCAACAATATAAACTGAAACAGTATGCAAAAGCCTTGGTTTATTACTCAGAAGCTATTGGTATATCTGATCCATTCATAATAATTTTGAAGTTATAAGTTTTACTTAATAATATCATATAGCTTTTTTGTTAAAATTGTCTTTAAATGTTCAGGCTTGTAGGCCTTATTGTAATTCACATTTTATTTTGTCTTTTGAGAGCCTCTTTTGATTCGATAGTGTTTTTTTGTGGAACGTTTGTATTTACTATGCATTAAAAATCTTTATTTTCTATTTCCTGGTAAATAGGATTTTTAAATCCTCCGTATTTTTAGATTTTGAAGTATTGAATTATTATTATTATTGAATATATCTTTGCCTTGAACCAGTCTCGTCCCTTTTCCTAATAGAAATGCTGGATTCAACATGGATATGGTACATTTGCGCTTTCATAGTCTCCCTAGGACCACAATATATTTTAACAACCATTACCCAACCATTTTAACTAAGAGCTTGATTCATCCAAAGTCATGACTTTTCTTATTAAACTTGTTATTTTAAGGAGTAGTTTATAAGGAGTTTTAGACCAAAATTTAGACCTTCATCAGGACTGATCTTACGGGAACATTCCTGAAATCAGTCCTGTTGGCAAAAATAAAACTATAATTTATTTATTTTTACTTTTTTATTTCCTTCTCCCTTCCTTCTCTTTTCGACCATATGGGATTCCATTTTTATTATACAACAACAATAACTCTTTTCTTGTTTTATTCCTCTTTTCTTGCTATATTTCTATCTTGGAGTCACTCCTGATTGAGACTGTGGAAGTCTCCGTCTAACTCCCATATTGAAATGGGCTGTATCTATTTGTTCCTTCCATCCATAGTCGAATGCCTCATAGAAATGCACGAATGACTTTTACATGTGACTACACATCCCAACCAACCCTTCTCTTTGATAATAAATTAACTATTTATGTACATTTCGTTAAGTTTCAACCCTAAAATAATTCATATCTTCACCAGTGCCTGCTCTCTTAGCCTTTTGTTAGCTGTTTTGATTCTGATTTATTTTGTATTTATAAGATTAAAAAAAAAAATGCCTTACAGACAATATGATTTTTATTTTATTTAGAATTATGGCCAGATAATTCTTCATATTATGGCAACCGCTCTGCTTGTCATATGATGCAAGGAAACTATGCTTCAGCCTGTGAAGATGCTTTAAAAGCTGTTACACTTGATCCTAAATTTGTGAAGGTCAGACATAACTTTCATATTTTTGTGATTTTTCTTTATGTATTACCCTTTTTGATATGTTACTTCTTTTATTGTAGGGTTGGGTACGAGTTGCCAAATCTAATATTGCTATTGGTGATTTCAAAGGTGCTGAAAATGCTCTCGTCCAAATTGAAAAACTTGAACCAACTAATTCTAATCTCGCTGTTGAGAAAAAACACTTGGAAAATGCCAAAAAATTCAATGATGAAGCGGAAAAGGCATATGCTAAAAAGGATTTTAGGAAGGTCAGGTCACATTCATGATTTAGTTAATTACTCTTTCTTTTATGCATTATTTCAGTGGTAATTGCTCTTTCTAGGTTGTTTTCCTCTTAGATCGTGCATTAGAAGTATGTAATGCTTGCTCGAAATTCAAAGTAATGAAAGCTGAATGTTTAGCAAGGTTGGGTCGATATCAAGAAGCCCAAGAATTAGCCAATGACGTTTTGTCTAATGATAAGCAGCATGCTGATGCAATATTGGTCAGAGGAATGTGTTTGTATTACCAAGACAATGTTGAAAGGGCTTTTACTCATTTTCAACACGTACTTAAACTTGCACCTGATCATTCCAAAGCCATGGAAATTTATAAGGTTAGTTCATTTGTTAGTGCACATGCCAAAATTGTAGTTGATATTTTATTTTTTTCTATTTATTCATATTTATTATTTAAAAAATCTGGACCAATCTACACACATATTTTTGCAAAATGGTCTATGGTTTTAAGCTATTAAAATCCTCAATGTGGCTAGCACAATATTATTATATTTTGTATATTTGTAATAATATTATATACAATATTTTATCTTTCAGGCAGTTTTAACAACATAAATAACTAAGTTTAAAAATTTATTGTTATGAATGAATTAAAATTTAAAATATTATCTTTGAAGGTTTGTATTCAACGTAAATATAATTAATTACATTCTTTACTTCATAATGTACGTTGATAAATTCACTGACTTAAAACATTTATGGACTGTAGAAATGCGACTAACCTATTTAATTGAACTCTCATTATGAGTTGATCTTTAAATAGACCAAAAAACTTCTAGGCCAGGCAAGAGGATTCCCTTTAATCTCATTGGTCATAACTAGCAACATTTCTTGGATAACTTGGATTAACTTTCATCATTTTACAACTTTTGGCATTCTATACTATTATCATTTTAAATCTAACAAATTATGATTATTAACCATATAATCCTCACAGGATTAATATACAAGATCCTGTCTGAAAATTATCTACCAAATGAAATAAAATTAGGGTATCTATTCCCCATGTATATAAAAATGGTAATAAAAAATAATGCACAAACTGTAGAGGTATCTGTGTCACCAAGCCTTTTATGAAACTGCTGGAAAGAATTGTCAAAAGTAGGTTAAGAATACGAGGGTACAGAAGACCTAAGTGGCTTTACCTCAGGAAGATTGCGCATCGATAACATTTTTACAATAAGACAGATTTTTGAAAAATTCATGGAAAAATCTATATATGTAGAGTGTCTCTTTATTAGCCTGGAAAAGGCTTAAGACTCAGTTCCAAGAAAGCTATTGTGGGAAGCTCTGAAGGAAGAAAATATATCAGAGCCCTTAATAAACTTCATAAAAGAAATTCATCACAATAATACCTTTTATGTTAACACGTTCACGCCGGGACCAATTTTTATTTGTTTTGCTGTGAGGTGGAGCTGAAATTAATGCCGCGCTTCATCTGGCGGGTGCTAATAGTGTCTAATAACACAGTCTAGTGCAGGCCACCGGTGGTACACGCCGGCGTGAACGTGTTAAGTTAGGGTTAAGTCTCTCTGAGAAATCCCAGGCTTCAAAATGTCTTGCAGGGATGCTGCCTTTCGCCTTCCCTTTTCAAAATCTATGTTGATGTTGCTCTCAGAGAGTGGAAAAGAAAATGTGGAAAAATGGGAATAAGGATTGGGGAAAATTTATGCATCATGAACCTATTGTTTGCTGATGACCAAGTAATCATAACTCAGGATAGAGAGGACATCAATTATATGTTCAGAAAGGTTGTCGAGATTCATGAAAAGTGGGAATTGACTATTAACTTTATGAAAACAGAGCACCTTGCACTTCATCTGATGATGACATCCCAATTGAAAGAGTTACAAAAACTGTAGAGAAATTTTAATACTTAAGGTCAATATTCAATAGAGAAGGTATACCCACCAATGATATCGACAAGAGAATTGGTGAAGGAAGAAGTCACGGCAATACTCAGTGGTGTCCTTTGGAGCTTGACATTTCCAAGTCAATTTCAACCTTTTCCAAATCAAATTCAACCTTTTCCAAGTCAAATTAAACCTTTTCCATTTCAAATTAAACTTTTTCCAAGTCAAATTCAACCTTTTCCATTTCAAATTCAACTTTCGATTTTTTGTCAATTTTCGATTTTTTTCGAAATGAAGGCCACTTACTATATTATCGAAGGCATAGCTTTTAAAAAATACAAAAAAAAAATTGATTACGCAGTTGTATATCCATTTATTTTAACATTTTAGATTTTTTCAGTGTGATATTTCTATGTGATATTCAATTATTTCCAAGTCAAATTCAACCTTTTCCAAGTCAAATTCAACCTTTTCCAGATCAAATTAAACTTTTTCCAAGTCAATTCAACCATTTCCATTTCAAATTAAACCTTTTCCAATTCAAATTCAACCGTTTTCATTTCAAATTAATGTTTTAAGTTTTTGTAAATTTTATATTTTTTTTTAAATAATGGCCATCCCCTCCCCCCCTCCAATATGAAAGTCTATTATTATGCTCTCCTAAGTAGAATTTTCACTTACGGATATCGATTTATTGTACCTATTCGGATTTCTTAGGGACTAGTATTATGCTGTCCTGTACCTAGTTTTGAAAATAACCTCCATTTTAAGATTACGTGACTGCGTTTCGAATCATTTAAGTTTTTTTGACAAATTCGATATGTGGGTGTACTTTTATGTTTCCCGATCAGTAAATTTTGAAAATGACATCCATTATATGTTTACGCCACTGTGTTTTGACTTATTTAAGTTTTTAGAATTTATCCAATATAAAGGTCTACTTTTATGTTTCCGGAGCCGTAGATTTTGAAAACGACCTTCATTTTAAGATTAGGCCACCGCGTTTCGACTTATTTGAGTTTTTCGGATATTTTTCATATGAGGGTGTATTTTTATGTTTCCGGAGCTGTAGATTTTGAAAATGACCTCCATTTTAAGATTAGGCCACCACGTTTCGACTTATTTGAGTTTTTCGGATTTTTTTCATATGAGGATGTATTCTTATGTTTCCGGAGCCGTAGATTTTGAAAACGACCTCCATTTTAAGATTAGGCCACCGCATTTCAATTTCTTTGAGTTTTTCGGATTTTTTTCATATGAGGATGTATTCTTATGTTTCCGGAGCCGTAGATTTTGAAAACGACCTCCATTTTAAGATTAGGCCACCGCATTTCGATTTCTTTAAGTGTTTCGAATTTTTATCATAAAAGAGTGTATTCTTATGTTTCCGGAGTCGTAGATTTTGAAAATGACCTCTATTTTAAGATTATGCCACTGCGTTTCGGCTTATTCAAGTTTTTCGAATTTATCCAATTTAAAGGTCTACTTTTATGATGCCGGAGCCTTAGTTTTTAAAACTACTTACATTTTAAGATTAGGCCACTGTGTTTCGGTTTTGTTAAGTGTTTTTGATTTTTCTTTCGAATAAAAAACATAATACGAAGGATTAATTTATTTTTCAATAAATAAATAAAAATATCTAATCAAAATAAATAAAATATGTATTGTCTCATTTTTAATTTAATTTTAGTTATCTTTTTTAATGTTGTGGTCTCCTATCACAAAATTATAAGATTTCGAACAATTAGCTGAAAAATCTGAATACGGAAGGTTAAATTTATTACCAGTTGCTTTTCGGCTTTTTAGTTTGTATTCTGTGGTTAATTTTACTTTAGCTTCATAATATTTATTTATTTATTCATACTCGAAAACATATTGATGAAACTTTGTATTGAAAAAATCCAAAATGAAGCCTAATTAATCAAGATGCAGCGGCTTAATCATAAAATGGAGCTTAAATATTAGATAAATTTAAATATTAAAGATTAGAAAAATTTCAATACGTCTCGGATAACATATAAGTAGATCCTTATACCGAAAAAGTAAAAAAAAAAACTTTTATAATCCAAAACAGTGGCATAAACTTTAAATTGGGTCATTTACAAAATGGGGAAATCTACTGCTCCAGAAACATAAAATTAGACCTTTATACTTGTTAAATTCTAAAAATTTAAATAAGTTGAAACGCAGTTGCGTAATCATAAAATAGAGGTCATTTTCAGAATCTACGGTTCCGAAAACATAAAAGTAGACCTTTAAATTGGATAAATTCGAAAAACTTAAATAAGTCAAAATGCAATGGCGTCATCATTAAATGGATGTCATTTTCAAAATCTACGGCTCAAGAAACATAAAAGTAGACCTTAATATTGGATAAATTCGAAAAACTTAAATAAGTCAAAACGCAGTGGCGTAATCATAAAATGGAGGTCATTTTCAAAATCTACAGCTCCGGAATCATAAAAATACACCCTCATATGAAAAATATCCGAAAAACTCAAATAAGGCGAAACGCGGTGGCCTAATCTTAAAATGGAGGTCATTTTCAAAATCTACAGCTCCGGATACATAAAAATACACCCTCATATGAAAAATATCCGAAAAACTCAAATAAGTCGAAACGCGGTGGCCTAATCTTAAAATGGAGGTCATTTTCAAAATCTACAGCTCCGGATACATAAAAATACACCCTCATATGAAAAATATCCGAAAAACTCAAATAAGTCGAAACGCGGTGGCCTAATCTTAAAATGGAGGTCATTTTCAAAATCTACAGCTCCGGATACATAAAAATACACCCTCATATGAAAAATATCCGAAAAACTTAAATAAGTCGAAACGCGGTGGCCTAATCTTAAAATGGAGGTCGTTTTCAAAATCTACGGCTCCGGAAACAAAAAAGTAGACCTTTATATTGGATAAATTCTAAAAACTTAAATAAATCAAAACACAGTGGCGTAAACATAAAATAGATGTCATTTTAAAAATTTACTGATCGGGAAACATAAAAATACACCCTCATATGAAAAATATCCGAAAAACTCAAATAAGTCGAAACGCGGTGGCCTAATCTTAAAATGGAGGTCGTTTTCAAAATCTACGGCTCCGGAAACAAAAAAGTAGACCTTTATATTGGATAAATTCTAAAAACTTAAATAAATCAAAACACAGTGGCGTAAACATAAAATAGATGTCATTTTAAAAATTTACTGATCGGGAAACATAAAAATACACCCTTATATCGAATAAGTCAAAAAAACTTAAATAATTCGAAACGCAGTCACGTAATCTTAAAAAGGAGGTTATTTTAAAAAACTACTCATACGATAACAGACCCACGCATCGAAAAATTAAAGATAATTAAATAAATAAAAAAAGGTTGAATTTGAAATGGAAAAGGTTTAATTTGAAATGGAAAAGGTTGAATTTGACTTGGAAAAAGTTTAATTTGATTTGGAAAAGGT